AATCAGTCAACAGCAACTTACACCCAATGGTAGCAATGTGAAAATCCAAGAATTTCAAGGTTTCTACTCAAAGGAAAAATGGAGAGAAAAAAAAATAGAGAGAAAAATGAGCAGAACACAAAAATGATCACTGATTTCTCCTTTTATGCAAAATAAACACTAGCTTTCGGGAAAGGGGAAGAGTAGTTTACCAAACTACAAGTAGCTTAATTTTAGCCCCCTACTCAAGTGCCTATACTGACAGAAGGTTAACAAAAAGCTACCTAACCGAAGGTTAAATTACATCAAAAAATCAGACACTGAATTGTTGTAGCATGTGATGGCACAGTACTTCGAAAACTACAAAAATCTGAACTTCATTCAACACTCTTCCTTGGCATCCAAGCTGCAAACGCCAAGCTTGTTTCTAAGAGCTTCAAATCTGATCTTCTGTAAGCCCTTAGTGAAAATATCAACAACATTGCAGAGGAACAGTGCACCATAACAATATCACCATCATTTTCTGCAACTCTAACAATATGATACTTCAATTTAAAATGTTTTGTCTTTCCATGAAAGATTGGATTTTTAGCAATAGCAATTGCAGCTTTGCTATCACACAACATTTCAGTAGGATTGGATTGAGCATGATGAACATCAACCAACAATTTCCTTAACCAAATAGCCTGATCCACAACAATTGCAGCAACTATATATTCAGCTTCTGCAGTGGAATGTGCAATTGCATCTTGCTTTTGAGAACACCAGCTTATAACACGTGATCCAAGTGTGAAACAAAAACCAGTGGTGCTTTTCATATCATCCTCAGACCTTGCCCAATCATTGTCACAAAAGCCAAGTAACTTAATTTTCTCAGCTCTAGGATAGAAAACACCAAAACCAGCAGTTGCCTTCAAATATCTAAATATTCTTTTAACACCCTTGAGATGAACTTCAATAGGTGAATGCATAAACCTTGAAAGCAAACTAACAGCATGCATTATATCAAGTCTGGTGGTAGATAAATATAGAAGGTTGCCAATCATACTTCTATATACCCTTACATCAACATTTGTTGAACCATCAATGGCTTTGTATTTAACTCCTGACACAGAAGGAATACTAACTGGCCTGTAGTTTGACATAGCAAATTTGCTCAAAATCTCACTCGTAAAATTTCTTTGGCAAATAAAAATGCCTTTGCTGGATTGATCAATCTCTATACCAAGAAAATATGTCATTTTGCCCAGATCATTCATGTCAAAAATTTGCAGCATGTCAATCTTGAACTAATTCAAAGCAGCTTCATCATTTCTTGTGACTAGCAAATCATCAACATATATGGAGACTATAACAAGTTATCCATTCTTCTTTTTCACATAAAGAGTAGCCTCACTTAGACTCTTCTCAAATCCAAGACTCAGCAAGTGATCATCAATTTTGCAATTCCAAGCTCTAGGAGCTTGTTTTAGCCCGTACAAGGCCTTTTTAAGCAAATACACTTTATTCTCTGCACCATCTTGCACAAACCCTTCTGGCTGCTCAACAAATATTTCTTCTTCCAATTTGCCATTTAAAAATGCTGATTTGACATCAAGATGGAAGACACTCCAGCCTTTGTCTGCTGCAAGAGCCAACAATAGTCTGATAGTTTCATGTCTTGCTATAGGTGCAAAGGTCTCAGTAAAATCAATTCCAGCCAATTGAGAGTAACCTTTCACCACCAATCTTGCCTTATATTTGTTGATGGTGCCATCATAATTCATCTTGACCCTATATACCCATTTAACACTTATGATGTTTTTATTTTTTGGTTTATCAACCAAAGTCCAGGTGTCATTTTTTTCAATCATTTTGAGCTCCTCTTTCATTGCTACTCTCCATGCATCCGAATTTGCAGCCTCATAATAATTTGAGGGCTCAACAGTAGACAAATTGCATCTACTATAAATGTCTTCCACGGTTCTAGTTCCTCTCACTGGTGCATCATCAATTAAATCTGATTCATTAGCTGCATCATCAAAATCTGCTTCAAGTTCTGGTTTGTCATTCAATTTAGCAACCTGATTCGAGTCTGTAACTTGGGATTTTTCCCAGTCTCATGCTGCACTTTCATCAAACTTAGCACTTCTACAAACTTCAATCTTTTGAGTCTTAAGGTTGAAAACTCTATAACCTTTAGATTGTAGGCTATAACCAATAAAAACACAAGTATTTGCCCTTTCATCCAACTTGCCTCTCTTTTCATCTGGTATAAATGCATAGCAAATGCAACCAAAAACTTTCAAATGATCTACAGCAGGTTTGTTCCCTAACCAAGCTTCAAAAGGAGTTTTGCCTTCAATAGCTTTTGTTGGCAATCTGTTCTGCAAATGCACAGCAGTGTAAATTGCTTCAGCCCAACAATTCTTGGGCAAGTTCTTCTCAAATAGCAAACACCTGGCCATATTCAAAATAGATCTGTTTTTCCTTTCACTCACACCATTTTGTTGAGGTGTGTAAGGAATTGTGAGCTGATGATGAATTCCATGTTGCTGCAAAAACTGTTGGAATCTATGAGAAGTATACTCAGTTGCATTATCAAATCTAAGTGTTTTAATATTCAAACCACACTCGTTTTCAACTGAGGCTTTGAACTTGATGAAAACATCAAATACCTCAGATTTATGTTTCAAAAAATACACCCAACAAAATCTGCTAAAGTCATCAATAAAAATCAAGAAATATCTATTTCCACTTAAAGAAGCAGTCTTCATAGGACCACAAATGTCAGTGTGAACTAGCTGCAACTTCATAGAAGCTTTATGAGCTTGACCAGATGGAAAAGGCAATTGCGATTGCTTACCAAGCTGACACACTTTACAAACATGTTCATCAACATGAACAAGAGGCATACCAGAAACCATGCTCTTTTTTCACATCAATAGCAAAGATTGATAACTAGAGTGACCAAACCTCTTATGCCAGACACAAGAATTATCAATAGTACTCACGCAAGCCTTTATTTGAGTTTCTTTCCATTCAATAGGAAAACTCCTATCAAGCATTTTAACAGATAACAACAAATTTCCAAATTCATCAAATACATCACATAGCTTGTCATGAAAGTGCAAAGAGTATTTGTTTTCAACAAGCTGAGCAACACTAATAAGGTTGTAGCTAATCTCAGGAACAAATAGAACATCATAAATAAGCTTGATACCTGTTGGTGTATCAACAATTGCTACTCCCTTTCCTTTGACTTCTACTAGCTCTCCATTACCCAATCTGACTTTAGAGGTAAAACTCTTGTCAAGGCTTTTGAAGCAGCTCTCATTTGGAGTCATATGGTGAGTACATCCACTGTCTATCAACCAAACATTACAACTGAGATTCATAGCACAGCAAGCTTCCACTTTAGTGGCCACAAACAACTTCTCCTCCTGTTGATCAAGTTTCTCTGCAATCTAAGCTTGTGCTGTAGAGCCTGCTTTTGATTTGCAAACCTTTTCAACATGACCAAATTGCTTACAAGACCTGCACTGAACACCAGGCCTAAACCAACAAAAATTTTCTGTGTGAGTTGTCTTTTTGCAGTGAATACAAGGAGGAAATGATTCCTTTTTACCCTTTTATCTACCACCCTTGAAATCTCTTTGAAACTCCTCCTTTTCTTTCCATTTCTTATAAAAAAATTGCTTCTTTGCTCCTTCCTTTTGTTGGCTTTTACCCTTTTCGGTAGTCGAGAGAGCACCTTCCACATTGCTTTCGGACCTTAAGGCTTTTCTCTATTCAACAGCTTGTAAAGAGTTGATAAGTTCAGTTAAGGGAATTTTGGAAAGATCCTTGGAGTCTTCCAAAGAGGAAATCTTGTGCTCAAATTTTTCTAGCAAACTGACCAACACCTTCTCAACAACCCTCTTATCAGAGAGTTCTTCATCATCCAGCAATATGATTCGATTCACAATCTTCATTATTCTATCTAAAAACTCTTTGACAGTTTCAGACTCATTCATCCTCAAAATAGCAAATTCCCTTTTCAGATTCAAAACTTGCATCTGAATTCCCTTACTGTCACCCTAAAACTCTACCTTCAACAAGTCTCAGGCTTCTTTAGCTGTTTCACAGCGCATAATTCTATCGAAAATCTCATCAGTTACTGCAAAATGAATACAAGTCAAGGCTTTATACCTTTTCGTAACTTCTTCAGTATGCTGCTTTATCTGAGCCAAGGTGGGATTCTGCCTTAAAGGTGGTGGCTGCTGGTCGGTTTCCACCACTTCCCAAAGGTTGAAGGCCCTTAGATAAGCCTTCATTTTGATTGACCAAACTGGGTAGTTATGACCATTGAAAACTGGTGTTTTTGCTGTGAAACTAGAACCAGATTCCATTTTTGGGGTTCAAGGTGTTTGGGTGTCACTCACTCTCAATTTTCACTCCCTCATAGCCTCTCAAGGATCAAAGGAGGGTCTGATACCATGTAACGTTTTTGCTCAAAGGAAAAATGGAGAGAAAAAAAAAAAAAAAACAAAGAGAAAAATGAGCAAAACAGAGAAATGATCATTGATTTCTCCTTTTATGCAAAATAAACACTAGCTTTCGGGAAAGGGGAAGAGTGGTTTACCAAACTACAAGTAGCTTAATTTTAGCCCCTTACTCAAGTGTCTATACTGACAGAAGGTTAACAAAAAGCTACCTAACCAAAGGTTAAATTACATCAAAAAATCAGACACTGAATTGTTGCAACATGTGATGGCACAGTACTTCGAAAACTACAAAAATCTGAACTTCATTCAACAAATGGACAAATAAATTGTTTAATTCAACTTCAAGTAAAAATTTTGTTTTCTTTCTTAGCAGCAACTTTTTAAAGCGAAGACCTGAGAGATTTGTTAATCTGGGGAAGGTAGACATATTACATCCAGCTATAGCATTATTCGACACAAATAATTAAACAAAGTATAGCTAAATACACAAATGCACAAGGAATCTAAGAAACCATATCCAAAGAAAAAGTCAAGCACAAAATACCCAAAACAGAAAATTAATTGTTGAGCTTCAGCCCTTCTT